AATTGACTCACTGGAAAAGACCTTGATGCTGGGAAAGATTGAAGGCAGGAAGAGAAGAGGACGACAGAGGATGAGATGGTTGGACAGCATCACCAAATTGATGGACATGAGTTTGAGCAAGCTCCAGAAGTTGGTGATGAACAGGGAAGCCTAGTGTGCTGCTATCCATGGGGTTGCCCAAGAGTTGGACACGACTGAGTGACTGAAGTGAACACCACAATTCCTGCCCCATCCCATAAAAAAATCCCCACAAAAGATAAATTTTAAAAAATATATGTAGATTACATTAGCTAATTTGCAGAGAAGTTAATGGTATATTAACTTACAGTATGAGTGAAAGTTTCCCGATTCTCCTTGCCTCAGAAAACCACTGCAGAGAAAAATTAAGTAACTGGGGGAGGATACCCAATAGCTGCCATTTGCTATGAAAATGATTCCTGCTTAACTGGGATCTTCTAAAAGCCGCTCCCAGAAGGCATCTATTAACTGAACTGTTTCGATTCCTCGATGCAGCCAAACCAACCTAAACTGTCCTGTAGAAGTCACGGCTGGCTCTGCTCCCTCCTCTGTTTGCAGGTGCCACAGTCACGTCTCTTCAGCTCCTTCCAAAGAAGGCTTAACTTTCATTAATAACTGCTAACACTTACTGAAAATCATGTACATCATTCCACAAGTACTCACTCATTTAACCCTTGCAATCTAACGTAAGTACTATTATTATCCCTCCAATAAGAGTGAAAAAAGCCTTCTCAGGGACCCGAGTCACTGTAAAAGCTCCCAGCAGTGGACAACAAATTAAATAAAGGTTTTATTCCTGTAAGCAGTGGGGTTGTTCTTTTCAAATGTCATTTTTGGAAGGCATCGTTTTAGGGCCTAATACAGCAACAACTGACATCTGCACACCAACCTCCCCAGTCTCATTTCAGTTCAAGGCGCTCACTAGGATTCTGATTGCCAGACACATTCACGTCATCCAGGACAGGAGCACTTATGCTAAAACTCTTCCCAAAAGAGTTTTCTTTTTTAGGTCCTAACACTATCAATATGTTATCTGTATTATTAAAATTAGTTGAGGTACTTGTTTTGTCAAGTACAATGTATCTAATTAGCCTATACTATGAAAAAGTAACAATTTTGCCAAGTTTTCCTTTTAAGTATCTTCAATGATTGTTTTTTAAAGTAAAGGACACATGGTCACTTTTTTTTTTTTTTGGTGTGTGAGCTTAAATAACACTAAACGCTATCTGCTACAATACTATTAACATAAATGTTCAGTTTCTATCTTTAATTCAAACATTAGCACTATGTGCCAAACAACTAACTTTTGAGGATACTGAAAACAATCTCCAGAGAAACATGGCCATACCAACAACATTAAGCACTAACGACTATTACCATAGTAATTTTAACTCTTTTCACCTTTGTGTCACTAACTGGGGGCTAAACCTCCAGAACTAGAGGATCCATTTTCATGAACAGAGGGTCTGTAATAAGTATGCAGAGATAGGAACCTTGCCTGTCTTTCATCTTTTCAATGAAACAGTAACAAGACTAGTATCTTTTAAAAATACTTGATCACGGACTCCCTGGCAGTATCTGACTGACAATGCAGGGTACATGGGTTCCATCCGTGGTCCGGGAAGATCCCACGGGCATGGAGCAACTAAGCCGGTGTGCCACAACCGCTGAGCCCTTGCGACCAGAGCGCGCGCTCGGCCACAAGAGAGCCACCGCAATGAGAAGCCCACGCACCACAACTAGGGCGGCCCCTGCTCACTGTGACTACAGAAAGCCTGCGCAGCAACGAAAACCCAGCACAGCCAAAAAAACAAAAACTTAATCATTAAGTACGTAATTTAAAAACACATTCTTTTTTGGTGCTATTGCTAACATACCATTTATACCTTGTGTTCCTAATAATAAAGGGCCCATTTTAATACCAGTTTTTTTCAGCTTGCTATACATGCAGTACCTCATTTCATTAACACCTGACCTGCAGCAATCACACAAATTTCCTAGAACATCGTTAGTGAGTAATTTTCACTACTGCAAACTGGGCTAGTTGTTGAATTTTATGCCAGTGGTTGGCAATTCACTGCAGCTGTGACGAACATGAACTTCACCCACAAGTCTCCTAAAAGCAAGGCCAACATTTAAGTTGTAATCCTATGTAACATTTACTCTGAAAACATCCAAATCATGTAGGAAAACTCTAGAAATGTTTCTTTTAAAAATAAAAATATACTTGTTAAATCTCCATTTTTCTAAAATGACCTACTTAGTACACTCTAGTAGTGTTTGTGGTCTTGTCACTTTTACTGACATCGTAACCACCTTATGCCACTAAACAAACAGTTGCTGAGCCTGGGTCAGCTTTAAAGCATACGACTAGAATTAAAATTCGCACTGAAATACAAGTTCTACCAGTAAATGTCATTAGTTTTTAAAATTTCAACAAGAAACTGCAGCATATTACGAATTGGATACAAATCCTGAAAGAGCCAGGAACACTATTCTGGGCTAGTATGCTCTTACTCTAAGAGAAAATTAAAAGAAAATTAGTTCTACTGCATCCATTGATAGTACGGATGACATTTTAGACAGTAGAGAAATAGAATTATTCCTGGGCAATTAAAAAGTTACAAGGATAGGCCTAAAAGGTTACTTCCGGGCAAAAGGCGGCTGCCAAGAAACCCGTCTCCGCCTGTCCCAGAGCAAACCCTCCCCAGGGCTCTTGGCCGACCCGGTCCCCTCCTAGCCCAGCCAACGCCAAAGAGAACCCCCGCGCCCCCGCAAGGCGGCGCAGCGCACCTCCGGGGGCGGGGCCAGCGCCGGTCACGTGGGGGGCGCGCGGCCGCCATCTTGCAGGGCGGAGGAGGGGCGGGGCCCCGCGGACACCCCCCTCCCCTCCCCGCCGTTCGCCGGTCCTCGGCGGCGCGTGCCCGCGCGGCTCTCGGTCGCGAGCCCCGGCGCCTCCCTGCGGACTCCGGGGTGGGCCCTCCCTCCTCAGGCAACGGCGGCCAAGACCGCGAGAGGAAGGGCTGAAGTGCAGAGACCCCCGCGAGCCGCCTCTCGGGGCGGCCTAGCAGCAGAAGACCCGCGGGCACGTCCTCAGGGCCAGAAGCGGCGACGGCTGAGGGGCTCGGAGTCCCGCTGACAAGCGAAGTACGGGGCAGCAACAGCCAAGTAAGACGGGGTGATTTGTCACAGCAACCCTCAACCACGGGAGAGGAAACGCTCGCCAGGCCACCGACGTCCACAAATGGCGTTCAGTGTCACCTGAAGGCGTGTGCCCTGTGATCCACCCCGCTCCTGCGGACGGCCACGACACAGGAACCGTCTGAGAAGTAACGATGCGCTCCAATTCGCGGCAGCATGCCCAGTCCACTCTTCCCGGCACTCACTGAAAGGCCACACGCCGCGGTCGACATAAAAATTTCACTGCTGTGCTCTGAACGCATCTCTGCCCTTGTCTCATCCCCTTACAACACTCGCATTATAAGCAAAATTTAAAGGGAGAAAAAACACTGCCATTAAAACCAGAAGTCGGTTACCCTTGTTGGAATAAGAATGCAATAATATAAACTGCTCCACTATGAGACATTTTCCTTATATCTACACGCTAAAGTTATCTTTACAATATATACAGGAATTTTGGGGATAAGATATGTAAGTACTGCTTCAAAGTTCAGGCTTGCTTCTTTAAACTTAATGATGGGCACATAGGATTTTTTTTGGAATTAGTAGGCTGAAGAGTGCAGTATACACAGTTGCATGAGACACTGGAATATTTCATGCTCGCCAAAATTCTGGATACTAGCATTTCTACGTCCCAGTTTGATAAAGTATGTCCTAAAGTGGGTTAGTCACTTCACTGACGCCTCCTTTTTAAAAGGAGGGACTCAGCCTAGATTATCACTAAATCCTTTCCAGCTCCCAGGTTCCTTTGATTCTATGGGTATTGAGTTCACACCGCCATTGGCGAGATACAATGCCCAGTTTTAGTCTGAATGACAGCAGATATATAAGCTGAAAGAACTTTCAAGTAAGGAGTGAAAAAAATCTCGCTTTCCAATATATCATCTTGGAGATCTCTTAAAGCTGAAAAACATGGCATCCAAATAAATACTTTTTAAATAATTGTGAACCACGAAAATAAACTTACTGTACAGTCTTTAAATAAAAGCTACTTGCTCCACTAAATTGTCACACTCAATGGCTTTATATTGGGCCCAGATTATTAAATTGCTTTCGTGGCTTTATAAAATTTTCTTTCATGTTTGTGACAAGGGTCTTGCCTTTAGTCTCATCTACTACATTTTGGCGTTCAGTAACTTTTTAGAAACCATTTATACCTTCAGTAAAGGCCCCACAAACATCTCCGGACCCAAATGTGTAGACACGACTCAAACCCGTTAGAAGCCGGACTGGCCGGGGGCAAAGGGTAACCAGAACCGCCCGAGGGGACGTTTCCCTACCCAGACAACCTGCCCGACGACCTAACTGATTTGAGTCATTTCGCACCTCTGACTTTTCTTCTGAGAACATGCAATTCTCTGAGCAGGAGCCAAAAGAACCAACGACCCGCTTTACCTCAGGCCACCGCGGAGCGCGCCGGGAGCGCGTCTGGGGCCGCCTCCCCCGGGGGGCGAGCTGGGCCTCGGGACGCACGGGCGGAGCGCCAGGCGGCGGCCGGCCCGGGCTCCGCAGCCCCGATGGAGGTATCGGGGCCGAAAGGTCCCGAGAGCCCGCGTCCGAGGACCGGGCTGAGCGCCGGGCTTCCGGGGCAACCCCAGCGGGACGAGACTTCCAGAGCATTCTGTTATGGCGGGTGCTAGTATGTGTGTGTGTGTGTGTGTCTGAGGGGAGTGGGACTGAGCGGCCCGGCCGAACGCACATCAGTCCCGGGGTCGGGGTCGGGGTCGGCCCGGCCGGGGGTCGTCGGGGAGCGGAGGCCGCGGGGACGGCTGCGCGCGCGCGGAGAGGCCGGCGCGCCTTACCTGGGCCCGGGCGCCGGCCAAGTGGCCCGGCGCCGCCTCTACGTCCTCGGGGCCCCCGCGGAGCGCGGCGCGGAGCCTCTCCAGGTGCTCCCTCAGGGTGACGCGCTGGTGGAAGGAGAAGGCCGGGTGCAGCGAGGCCATGGTGAAGAGCAGCAGCAGTTCCTCCTGGGCCCTGATTCCCAGCCCGCCGCCCGGCCGGGGCGCGGCGCCGCCGCCTTCCGGGCGGGAGCCGTCCTTCTCGGCGTCGTCCTCCTCGCCGCCGCCGTCCTCCTCGCCGCACTCGTCCTCCGCGGCGCCCCGGGAGCCCTCGCCCCGGGCCGCGCGCAGGCTCCGGAGCACCGCGTCCACCTGGGGCAGGAGGCGGTGCAGGCGGCCGGCGGCCTCGCGGTTCTCCGAGCCCAGCAGCGCCAGGTAGACGATGAGGCGCGAGCGCACGGCGGGCTCTCGGAAGTCGGCCAGCGGGCCCGGGTCCGAGAGGCCGTTGGCCTTGGCCTCCGAGTCGCGCAGGTAGTGGTAGTCCTTGCGCGCCAGGTCCTCCAGGCACGAGCCGAGGAAGCGCAGCTCCAGCGGGTTGCACAGGTCCAGCAGCCCGCACATGAACTCCAGGCGCTGCGCCGAGCCCAGCACCATCCCGAACCACTCGTACACCCGCTCCTGCTCGCGCAGCGCCGCCGCCGCGGGCCCCGCGCCGCCGCCCGGCATGCCCGCCCNGCGCCTTAGCCAATCAGCAGCCCGAACGGCTGGTTGCGTGAGTCTCCCCGCCCCCGGGGCACGCCCCCTCCGGGAGGCCACGCCCAACCGCCCTGCGGCCGCCTTCCCTGCCGGCGGCTCCTGCGCGGTCCCGGCCTCTGGCGGTGACCCGGGCTCGGGGCTGGCGGTGGAGCGACCGCGCGGGTCGGCCAGGCATGCGAGAGGCGCGTGCGGCCCACGACGCAGGGGCCGTCGGGGGTCGCACCTTCTTCGGGCTCCGGCGCGGCTTCTGACTCCCGACCCCGCGCCACCGCCCCGGGCGGGCCGCCGCCCCTGGCGCCGCCGGGCTCCGGTCGCGGCCGCTCGGGACGCGTCCCGGAGCCGAGCTCCCTCCGGAGGGGGCGCGCCGGCCCGACCTCCGCGGGTTTCGGAGGTCAGCGCGCGGGCCTTGCCGCGGCGGCTCCGCCGCCCCGTATCCGGTCTGCGCCGCGGGCGGGCGCCTGAGTCCCGGGCGAGTGCCCGGGCGCAGGGCCCTCCCGACCCGGGCAGCCCCACGGCCCCGGGCCCAAAGGTCTGTAACGGTCCTCGGGAATTATTGCCGCGACAGTTACCAAAGCCCCGCGGAGCCACCATCTTCGGGGGCCTCTCCTATTAGCTACATGATGTTTCTGTGCCTGACGCTAGCATTTTGAATTCCTGTGCCCCTGCGAATTCTCTGTGACTTGAGGAACTGACTTTTTTTTTTCAAGTTTTTGTTACGTTTTTAAGGTTGGAACACCTCTCTCCCTCTGTTTGTTGCTTAAAAAAAAAAAAGTCTATAATTTTAACACCCAGCTGGATCTTTTGAGGGTTAATTTTTAAAAGGTGGGACTAAAAAAAAAAAAAAAACCCTTCAGGTTTTAAATTAGGAAATCCTACTACAGCTGTGTAGTAGCAGGATGTAAAAAAAACAAAAAAGAATCACTTTTCCCTAAACTCTTCCTGAAAATATTTGAACATCTGTTGGTAGAGCATATGCTGAGCCCTCTTTACAATTTTATGCCCTAAGAAGCTAATTTATAATTCAATAAAAGGTTGAACTGAAGCCTGAATCAGCTTCAGCGATAAAATCAGCTTCAGACAGTTGTTTTCAACACACTTGAGATTATGTCAAATATATAAAACACCATTCTTTTTGAACTTTGCTATTTCCTTGTGTTCTTTAGGTGTGATCTAAAATCATGATCAGGAGCAAACTTTGCAGGAACATTTACAATCCTTGCCCCTTTGCTGTCAACTTCAGATGTCATGGAAATTTCTGTCTTATTATTTGTGAAGCTTAGGGTGACATACTTTAGGCAACCAATAGTAACCTTGCTAGATATTCACAGGTCCATAGTGAGTCACCTGTCTAGATCCTTGGAGATGATTTTTACATGTGATCCAGGCATATGGTCTTTACATTTTCCTTGGCAACAAGAAGCCATTTGGTATGAACTCTCAATACTTGATCCACAAATTTGGGACTGAGTTCAGATTTATTTATTTATTTATTGGGGGGGGCGGGGCGCCCGCCGCGACCGCCATGCTGCCTGGCCAGTGCGCACACAGCGGGCGGGGGCGGGGCTGAGTTCAGATTTACAGTCAGTAATGATTACTTTTGTTCTGTCTTTGGCCCACGTTAGAAATGCAGTGACGTGCACTGTGATTTAATGATTCTGGTTGTCACCCATTGGCTGGACAGGTCGATGCTTAGGCTCCCGTACATTGTTTCAGAGTGCGCTCTCTGCACACTGCCGCTCGTTAGACCAGGCCTCAGTGTTTTTTCCCACCCTGTAGTGAGAATACATCTTCAGTCAAGAGTGAGGTACTAGGGACTTCCCCGGGGGTCCAGTGGTTAAGAATCCACCTGTCAATGCAGGGGACACAGATTGAACCCCTGGTCTGGGAAGACCCCACATACGAGGCGCAGCAACTAAGCCGTCCAGCCGAAGCTACTGAGCCCATGCACTTGGCCAGTGCTCCCCAGTGAGAGAAGCACGCCTCCCCCGCAACGAGAAGCCCCTCTATGGCAACCACAGAGTAACCCCTGCGGGTGCAACTAGAGAGAGCTCAAGCGCAGCGACGAAGACCCAGCGCAGCCGAGAATAAAGTTTTAAAAATAATGAAGTAGTTTATCAAAAAATGGTGATGTATTACAACAGGGAGGAGCCCAGATGGAAATCCCAGGATGAGGTGTAGGTGTATTTATTGGGAAAAAAAACTATCCAGATAATTCTAATATGACATCCTGGGAAGGTATTCCTCCCACCAGGGCCTGCCTATTGGGAACGCTTGCTCTAGATTCTCTAGTGTTTTATATATAATTATATACATATTTAAATATATAATCATTTAGATGGGCCAAATAATATCACTGTGGTAATAGTGGTTATGTGTATGTATCCAGATCTTTCAGAGGAATATATCCTGTAAAAGACATCTTTTAAGGACACAAGTGCTATTGTGTCTTGTCCCTAGATGATATTTAATGAATATTCAATATACTTTGTTTGTCCTGTGGCAGTCCAGTGGTTAAGACACTGAGCGTCTACTGCAGCAGGCATGGGTTCAACCCCTGTTTGGGGAACTAGGATCCCACATGCCACTGCTCGGCCAAAAAGAAAAAAGAAAAAAAAAGATGCTCTGATTTATTTGCCTCATTAACAATGAAAGATGATGTTACTGACATTATTGTCCAAATATTTATATGTACCCAGAAAACTGGTTTCTAGTTAAGGTTATACTTTGGATTAAGACACCAGCCAGTGGTTGAAGATTGAGGAAACTTTGCAATGCTTTTGCAATTGGGTTACTGCAAGAAATTTCACTAAAACCACAGTTAACTGGATGGTTCAAGGCAGACTGACAATGACATCAACCCCACATAAAGAATGCCTAGGTACAGCCACTTCTACCTCAGATGGTATCCTGCAACAGCAAACTTGATCCAAGAATCTGTTCTCTGTTTCTGTGAATTCTGGCTTCTTTGCCCCCAGCCCTTTATACCTTCCTGTTTCCTCCCCTAGAGTATAAATACCTTAACATCAGTGACCATGTCTTATTCAGTTTTCTGTTTTCACATCTGGCACACAGTAGTGGTTACTAAACATTTGTTGAGTAAACAATGAATGGATAATGCTCCAGGAAACAAAAGTAACCACTCACAGCTCCTGGGGTCACCTGAACCCCTTTTACCTCTAGCAGGGAAGAGAAAACATCGGCGTCCCAACATCGCCAGGCTAGTCCTGAGAGTTCTTCTAACTGAACTGGCTTAGGTTACATGTCTGTTCCTGATCAGTCCTGGAGCCAGAGAAGTGGAGGCAGCTTCTTTAGAACCATGTGGATCGCCCAAAAGAAGCCCAGGGCTGTTGGAAAGAAGGGAAGCATGGATGCTGGGGAAGCCACCCAGCATGAGTCCCATGTCACTATACTCACAATCTGTTGTTTTGATCACATAAGTTGTCATGGCTTTAAGGCACCTCAAAAACAAATTTTTGTTTAGTTAGGCCACATGTTTCCCTTTTGTTACATCATGCATTTATTTTAAGAGATTAAACATTAAGTTGTCTTTAGAGATGACAGTTAAACTGGTCTATAGGTCTTGCAAGCAACACAGGTAAATCATTGACATTTGACTTAAGGGAAAAAATGAGTGCGTATTTAAAAGGATAGTTTTTGGTAAGGTTTATAAAAAATACCCAATATGACAGATTTGAGCTAAAAAGAAATCCTCAGCGTTGATGCTATGACAGCTGGAAGCCCATGCCCAACACAGGGTGTGTGACACCTTTTCTGGAAGACCAGCACTGGGTAGAATTCGGAGTCTCTCTGGAGTTACCGTTCCACTTGTTAGCTTCTTAGGACCTTAGATCGACCAGGCGGCCTAAGTTCTCCCACTTGTACATCAAAACTTTTGAAGAAACCCTGAAATTCAACCATCTTTGGGGCCTGTCCAGAAATAAATTAGATTCTAAAGTGGCTTGGTTTGGAAACTCCTCAGCCTGCTGATTTGTGTTAGAGATTAAGGAACTAGATGACCTGAGGCACTTGTGTGGTTCTTTGGTAACTTGGCAAACAGACCCTTGCCCAATCGCTCAAAAAGGCAAGGGCTGTCCCGCCCCCAGTGAAGTCAAGTGAGAGTCATTCAGTCGTGTCTGACTCTTTCTGACCCCATGGACTGTAGTCCATGGGATTCTCCAGGCCAGATTACTGGAGTGGGTAGCCTTTCCCTTCTCCAGGGGATCTTCCCAACCCAGGGATCAAACCCAGGTCTCTCACATTACAGGTGGATTCTTTACCAGCTGAGCCACAAGGGAAGCCTAAGCATACTGGAGTGGGTAGCCTATCCCTTCTCCAGGGGATCTTCACGGCCCAGGAATCGAACTGGGGTCTCCTGCTTTGCAGGCGGATTCTTTACCACCTGAGCTATGAGGGAAGTCCCTCCCCCAGCCCCACCAAAAAAGAAAAAACCAAACACTGCCTTCTAGGGACCTGTGGAAAGGTAGAACTGATTTCTTGGAAGGTTGACTTGCTAGATAGAAAAATAAGCTCTGCTCCAGCAGTTTTCTCTGGAATAGAATTTGCTGAATTTATGACTTCTTATAGGGTGACATCATATTATTGGTGAGCCCACCAAGCTCCTCTGTCCAAGGGATTTCCCAGGCAAGAATACTGGAGTGGGTTGCCATTTCATTCTCCAGGGGATCTTCCTGATCCATGGATTGAATGTCTCCTGCATTGGCAGATGGGTTCGCCACCAGGGAAGCCCTAGATGGACAGTATTGTTTTGCAACCACCAAAAGCAATAATTGATTCAGGCATTTGCACCGCTAGGTGCAAAGTTGTTAGGAAGCAAAACATTCACAGGTCCTCAAAATAACACCTTGCTTAATTAAAAGGGGGGAATGGTACTTTTCCACTGATAAATCTGATGGATGCCACCTTAACCTTGTGGTCACAATTAGCATCACCAATAATGAGACAGTCTAACATGGCTCCTCATGTCATGGATGTCATTGGAAGTACACACTATTTGCAGTATTCTTCCCCAAGTGTCTACACCGAATCTAATCATGGGGAAATGAGACAAAATCTGGACTGGGGGACACCACTGGGCTTCCCTGGTGGCTCAGAGGGTAAAGAACCTGCCTCCAGTGCAGAAGACTGGGGTTCGAGCCCTAGGTCAGGAAAAACCCCTGGAGAAGGGAATGGCTACCCACTGTAGTATTCTTGGCTGGAGAATTCCATGGACAGGGAGCCTGGCGGGCTTCAGTCCATGGGGTTGCAGAGTCTGACTTGACTGAATGACTAACACTAACTGTTCATAGAAGACACTGGCCTGAATCACCCAAAATATCAATGTCGTGAAAGCAAACACAGGCAGGGTCCTGCTGTGTCCTAAGGGAAACTAGATAGACTTAGCAACCAAATGCAATTCATGATCTGTGATTGGATCATGGGTTTAAAAACTGTAAGAGACATTTTGGGAATAATTAGATAAATCTGAATATGGACTTCTTATTAGATATGGTTACTGTATCAATGCTAACTTTCTGGGGTGAGATAATGACACTGTAGTTGTATAGAAAAATGTTTTCAATTGGTTCATGCCA